AAGAGATGCTTCTGGTAATAAACAAACAAACAAACAAACTATTATTATTATTATTATTATTATTATTATTATTATTGTCCTGATGCATCTCAGTAATCCAGGTAAAAAATCAAAAAGAAAAAAATTGTATAGGTCTTCTGGACGGGTTCTTCTCNCACACACACACACACACACACACACACACACACACACACACACACACACACACACAATTTAACTTTAATGGAATAGATTTCTGCCTCCATTGGATGTTGTGTTTGGAATAACCTGCTTCGTTTTAAGGTGGTAAAACAAATTGCTTGTATTTGTTCCTTTCTACACACTTTGCAGATTACTTTTTCTGCCCTCCACRCGTTTTAATCCCATTTATGCTTTTTTTTGGGAAGACAGTCTGACTRTCACCCTTTCCCACAGTGCTTCCCCGCTGTACAAGGAGACAGTTTTGCGCTATGACCGCAGGGAGAAACGAGGTCCAGACTCAACGATCTTTTGTGCGTTCTCACCTGCACTGACAGTCGCCTCGYTGCGTGCACCAYGTGCAGCGGCGCTCGCTCCTCCCGCTGCAGCCGACAGGACGCGCCGTCACGTAAACAAACATTTCGGCGTTTATTTTCGCACACCYGAACCAGGTCTGGATAAGTTATGTTTTTTTCCCCTCTTTATTTGCGCTCTCAGCCACGCTGCATCCCGCTTCCTCTGTTTTGACTCCAGCCGGTTACCTCATCAAAAACAATTGCGCGGTTGGCCGGTAGACTACAGATCTCTGAGGACAAATTTATATCATTTCTACCGTATATCGTTTATATCGCGCATTCCTACCATAAGCTTAATATTTCATTAGATTAGCTGCAAATAACATGCTAAACAACACGGCTAACAGTAGCTAGCACTGATGTGTAGGGGTCACCTCGAGTGAAATTATCAAGGAAACTGTCTTGGACTCTCAGTCCTCTGATGGGCCTTCGAAGGGACAAAAACTGTGTTCCACTTAGAACTGAATTTAGTTCACCCTCAGGTCGCCTTAATCTTTCAAAGAGACATTCTCTTCCTTCTAAATCAGTTAATAAACAGTAGAATCTTCTCTTATTTGATTTATTGTTCTCTTAACTGAAAGTATTACACATTTTGATAATCAGAGAATGTTTATCAAAGTTACAGGAGAAGAGAGGACAGATCTCTTTTCTCCCTCAGTATGATTTCAGCTCTGTATGGTTTTTCTGTGGGAAAAATTCTTATTTAACTAAAATAATCTTTATGGTTTAAGTTGATGAAATATCAATGTTTTACTTCTCTGAATCATATTTGCAAAGGTTTTGAACTTGAAGCAATTCATTTTTCTTTCAGTTAKGTTTTAAAATAAATGCTCATCAGATAATTAAATGGGTCATGAAATGTTTTTGTTCTGAACCACACACAAGCAACAATCTTTGTTTAGTTTCAGGAGGCACGGCAAGTTCTGAAACTAACGATAACGATAACTCTGTTACTAATGTTACTAATCCTAGATTCTCTAAGCTTTTAGTACTAACAGTTTCCACCCGGACGGTAGTAGGTGACGGACCGCCGTCAGTCACTTTTGACAGCTACACTCTCTGGGAGTCAAAAGCTAAGCTGTGACAGGTTTACTTCTTCATCGCCAACGAGGAAACCTCACAGCCTGGGTCAGACCAATGCCTGGTCGACCCACCTCAGAAACTCTTTTAGACAGAAGTTTTTTTAGAAACCTGGGTTCCAGTAGAGGCTTTGCATTTTTCTACGGCTTGACGTGGACAAAGCAAGTAGACCTACACGCCTGGGTTACTCTGGTGAACAGTCCTGAGCGGATTCTCTCAACAGAAGCCCAAATTACCTGGACAGGTGACCGACCATCATCTAAAGGTAAATAAGCTGGCTGTGTTATGAACCTCGCTGTCTGACCGAAGCCGAGCCCAAAACGCTTCGCCCTTCTGGTTAAAACCCACATTATTTAAGATAAAGGTATAAGAAAGCTAACACTTTACTTTCCTCCTTTTTCTTAAATCTTCCTTGCCAACCCTAAAATAATTGCCTCAGATATCTGGTATTCAACATCTAAGCTGACGTTTGTGTTCTATTTAAGTGTTTATTGACAATTTAAGAAGCTAGAAGCTTGTTATTGTCGGTTCTAAACTTTGATAGGAAACTGATTGCCACAATTAAGTGTACTTAGTGATTCTGAATGATTTGTAAAATAAATGATCGCATTATTTATGGATCAAATCAACATTCACTGACTGAGAGTCACTTTTTGTGTGTCCATTCATTTTGCACTAGAGGAATGTTTACCCAAAATAAAAGAGATCCCTTGCTAAATAAATTACTCTTACAACTTTGTTATAAAAAGTGTAAGACTGAACCCTTACAGATGCTAAC